GTTCGCCTCTTTCTATCGAGTTCGCGAAACAAAAGCTGTAATGAGCAGTTAATGGCCACTGCACACAAAGTGCCTCTTAAAATGTTCCCTAGATAATGGTTGAACTCAAATTTGAAACATTTTTTTCCTGAAGCGAAATCAAAACACGCAAATATAAGCTTGATAATTGCGCTGCGATTAAATTGTTTCTTGTTTCTTCGAGAAAGATTATATCTACATTTTAACACGAGCGAATTTCAAATCTCCCCTCTGTGATTCAAGGAAAATGCTAAATAAAGGAAAATCAAACAAATTAATTGAAATCTAGGTTTGATTTCTTGGTCTCTTCTAGTGCTTGATTGTAACACTGGTGCTACTCATTATTTTTTTTCTCTTTTACCTGTCATATTTTACATAAATAACCCGTTATAGAACGGAGTTCAATCCGAACCCATTTCCCAACAGATTTGAACAAAATTGAAGATTTTTATTCCAGTATTTTAATTGGTATCACTATCTAAAAAGCTTTATATTTTCAATTTCGTAAAATCGTAGATTATTAGTCTAAACGTTGTAGCGTTAATTACTCGTTTAAGTGCAAAGCAATCAAGTGAGCATTTCTCTGTTCCTCATCAATAACAGCAGCCTTTGTTCATTGTGCTTATCCTCACTTTTAAAGGTTATTTTTATTCAAACAACGCATTTGGACACTTCACTTAGCCAAATAAACGTTTAAAGCGAGCGGCTCATTCTTTTTCAAACTAAAACAAGAATTTTTTTTCTTGGACTCGGCGACCTAAATATTTCACAGCAGTTCATCCTGATAAACCACTTGTACGAAACTTAAGAAAGAAAACAAGAGACAGCTATTTTCAAAAAAAAAACTGAAAACAGTTTAGTTTTGTCAAAGTGAATTCCCTGTTATGGAAAAGATAAAAGCTAAGATATAGAATAGAATCCAGAAAACCATTATATAGAATTGGGTATAAGCTATTATTTCAAACTATTTTAATTTTACAAGAAATATTTCTGTGTGCATGACTTTTAGAGTTTCTTTATTCATTCAAAGGACTAATGGAAGTAAAAAAGGGAAAGCCGCTTTGAAAATTTTAACCTTTGAATTTGCCGATGGCAAAATTTAGGAAAGGAAAGTTCGCGTATTTTTACCTTTACAAAACCATGAAATGTTTAAGCCGATTGCCTCTGGGAAAACACCATCCATACACAAGTGTTTGGATATGATAATTGACAGTTTAAATTACCGATCTTCTACCCAAATGGCGGAAAACGTTTTGATTAAGCTGCAACTTTTCCTTTGACACTTGAGATGCTTTGAATCTGAGACTATTCTCAACGAAGAAAAAAAAAGGATCATGCGAAATTGTAATCCCACGAAGAGAGCATACGAAATGAAACATGTGAACATTAACTAGCACGAAATACACCGACAAAATATGTTTTAATTTCTGCCATTTAAAACAGGATGATGGCCAAACCGTGAAATAAAATAACAGGATACAAATTAACCGTAGTGTTATTATCCTGCATTGGATAGCCAAAAGCGATAAACAAACACCAGTCACAGCTTACTAAGTGGAAGGCGGAGGGCGAACATCATCAAAACCATATCCCAAAGGTAATAAATATTTTAAGTATTTGTTTCCTCTTTTTTTCTTCCTCTTTCCCTGAAGTTAATTTTTCTGAATTTCTAACAGCTCTTCAGAGTCGGTCAGCTGACTTGGATTTCACAGGAATAATTTAACAAGAAACGCTTTTTTAACTTGCGGGCGGTTTTGCTTGAAGTTTTAATCACTTCAACGTATTGGCAGTGAAATTCCGCTCAGGTTCGAGTGGTGCAAGATAACACTTACAAGCCACTGCTCAGGTAGAAAATAATTATTTACCCTCCAAATTTTCAAGAGGAAAATAATTTTATAGCCAAAAAGGCAAATTAATAGACTGGAAAATTCAAAAGTGCATGCTTGTACTGAGTAACCCAGGCAATTTTCATTCCCCGCGTTTTTCCCTACATAACGTTGATGTTATGAACTCAATGTTTTCAATTGACGCATAGCGGGGGAGCATTTTTAACATTTTCATTTCCCTTATTATATCATTTGTTTCTTTTCAAGACCTTAGAAATGTTTGCCGAGTAAAACTCTTGTTTATTTATGAAATTAAGGACGAAAGATACTTTATGTAACGTTGTTTCAAAACCACAAATAATTTTCTTCGCGCACCGCAAATTTGTGATGATCACTACAGCCCTTCCTTGCCTTTCGTTCGTCGATTAGCGATCATTTTGTTTCACCATTAAAACAGCGATGACGGAGCGAATTTGCGATATTATATCGAACTACATTTTTAAAGTGCAGGTCAGAGGAGATGGACATTAAGATTAAGACTTTCTCGTGCGAATCATTTTTTTTTTTCTCAGCATCCATTTTTATCATTTTAATTCAGTGCCAAATTGACTAGTTTTATTTTGCTTAAACTCTGCTTCCAACATTCAACGAAAAAATATAATATTTTCACATTAATGGACTTGTCGATCTGATAGCGCATTCTTTTAAGTTTTAAAGAGAAAAGAGAGCCATTTATTGGAGATACGATCAAAATTTTGAAGAACTTTTTTTCTCAGTGACCCGCAAACGCTCGTTATACTTCCATCTAACTAGAGCAGGTGTCATTATGTATTTCCAAAAAATGGTACATTTCCTCCATTTCCTAGACTTAAAAAAGACTTTAAAAGATTCAGGGAAAATTTCAAACGTCCACTACTGCGAGCATTTTTGAAGCACTTAAACTTACTTGAAGTAATGAATTTTCCGCTTTCGTCTGTCACACTTGGTTTGTTAAAGCAATATTTTCTCTTCCTTTTCCGTAAGACGTTCGCTCAATTACCAGTTGTGCGTTCACAGAAACTTATCCCACTGCTGTCCTCGCGAATAACTTGAAGTCATTCAAACCAACCTACCAATTTATTGAGCACGAAAACCGCGATATCTATATAGCCAGTGTTTTCTCTGTTCCTTATTAGCATGTCTTTTGTAAAGACGGCAAATTTTACTTGCTAGAAATGCAAATTGGCAAAACTATGGTCGTATTAGCGAACAAATCGCTGTATTCGCCTATTCTATGCGGGGTAAACATTTATTTTCATCTCGTTTTTCTCTATAGCCATTTCAACGGCTCTCCATTGTGCGTTGTTTTGAAGACCAAAAAGAAAGGTTTATTTTAGACAGGGCTGAATCCACTGCTATAGAATAACAAGCCATGCACGCAGTCATGACAATTTCTTGACTCCTTCTGAGCGAAGTAAGTGATAATTTTAAAAGACTGCTCGGTAATTCTTCATTGATGCCCGCTCATAAAGGTGCTAGAACAAATTCACTTCTAAATGTCAACAACTATCACCCTATTCTCATGCCGTTATTGAGAAGCGAAAAGAATTGTTTTCTTCTGGTATTTTAGAGCTCGGTAAAGTTAATGGGAGTGCTTTGGTAGTCTCCAACGGTGATAACCCAATTCATACATCAAAATATTTTCCCGCGAAGAACAAAAAATTCAACTGAAAGGAGCGTGGTTTCTTGAAAAAAAATAGACTTATTTTCAATCTTTTTTTTTCCGCCCGCCCTGATAGTTATCTTGAGTACAATCTTAGACTAAAAATTCCACATAAGATCTAAATTGCTTTCTCGAGCCGTAGACAGGTGTCTAACAATTTTAACTAGCATTTAAACTTGCCTCTAGCTATATTACAACAGAATGTTTATTTTTCTCAAGAGATCGTCTTTCTCCCATCTTTGTCTCGCTAGTTGGATTAATTCAGCGGTCAAAGTTTATTTACACAACCAGGAAAAGATATCACATCGCTTAACGCCAGCCTCACAGTAATAAATACCATCATTTTTCATTTATCCTAATTTTTGCGAGGAACGTTAATTTAGTGAAGAGTTTGTTATCTTAGCCCCGAGCAGAAGGGGCCATAATTAAAAGTCGCACGTCGAGAAATGTTAACTTCGCAACATTAGGTTGTTTTAGAAAAAAGCGATCTCTGTTATTTGCTATCCAATTATCCAAGGCATTTCACGGGTGGGCAGCGCTCCTTCCTGCTCGCTGCTCCCTAAGACAATCACAATCACCGATATATCCACAAGAAACAAAAGATAAAAAAGAGAACAAAGAGCGCTGTTTTGGTAAGCTTTATCTCTTTTGTGCAGCATTCATTTTCTACCTTTCGTTCTCTCGTGGTAAACTTCACAGTGGGACACAAGTAAATTTTCAACTTTGTCTAATTGGAAATAGTTTGCAGCGAAAATCCCTTTTCCTCCATTTTTGTGCCGTCAACAATTGAAGCTGTCCTTCGTGCTAAATAACGTAATTAAAGCCAGTTTTTGTCCCTCGATTAGCAGTGTAAACAGAGAGGAAATCAATTGGAATACAAATACAAATGCAAGTGTAGAGAATTTTTCTAAACATAATTCCACGTCGCAAGCCATGCAGCTCCAATATTCTGTTCGACTCAACTCCCACGGGTTCGCCCCAGAATTTTAAAAATATGATTGAAAACTGCTTCAGATCGCACGGAAAGCACCCGACAAAGAATAAAAAAACGACTTCTTCGCAGGAGTCTCCTGGATTTTTACGAAATTTTTAAGACAAAAAAAAAAGCACGTAAAAATTGAATCGCTTTGCTATATTGAATTCGGCGCACACACGCTAAAGAAAAGTACATGTTTAAACTTTCGGCTAGGACAATAGTACTTACAATGATCACAATAAAATTTGCCAATTCTCAATTCGGAAATATTTATCTAGCGGTGCAAATCGCCTGTAACCCTAGTTCTTAATGACTCTGCAAATACGACGGTCTATCAGCAGATTGGATCTAATTTGTCAATGTTCTCTCGTAGGTAATGCAATCATCAAGTATCGAAAGCGTTCGCACTTCAAGGCGCACTCATGCACGGAAAATCAGCGTTGAGGATTTTTAAAACTGTGTTTTGCCCTCTTAGTTTTTTACATCTAGAGTACAATAAACGAAGACCTCTAGGCCACTGTTTGAAAAGCTTTTTCTCTTTTCATTTATTGTGCCGTTCAATGAAAACCAATTGACCTCGAATATGCGAAGTTCGCTATGATTATTCGCGAAAGGATCACACAATACTGTTTTCATTATGTAAATCGCTCCAAGCAGTCCATTAAATACAGAAAAGCTGAAAAGTTTGTAAATCTCTTTAAAAAAGCGACAATGACGCACAGAAAGGCAAGGTAAGCCCTTAATGAAACACGTGCAAAGCTAACAATAGCGAATGCCGCAGATGTGGTGAAGGCATTGAACGGAAAACATTATTATATTGAAATAGTTTGAAAAGCGCACCTGCCTGAGCCGTGCAGGTGTCGCGCCACTGTGATTAGAACAATGTTTGAATGAGAGAGCAAACAGAACCGAAAACTTCCAATAACTCAGTGATCATTGCGTTATAATCCGCCGCTAAGTGTTCCCACTTGTGCGATCCTCGCGTAATTCTCAAAATATCGATCTCTGGGCTACAAGCGAAAGTTTCACCGCTCTAGCGCACGTGCTTCAGAGTTATGGCACAAGAATTGCCGCCGAACTTTCCCGCGCATTGATTGGCCGACAACGGAAATATACATAATTCATGCACAAATAATTAACACCTATTGTTTACTTCTTGTATTATTATTGAAATGAAATATTAGCATTGTCCTATTATATCATTATACCCATCAGCCATAATCACGCCTGTGAGGTGTTGTAGCTGTTGAGCCGGTCGACCAGGCAAATAACAGATTGAGGTTGCTCCTTTGAGAACAGTTTGACCGTACTCATCCTCGCGTGAACATCACCTAACTCCGTCCGTCACCGACTGCCAAGACAACAGGGATCAATCCTATTAACAACTTCAACGACATGGGCAAGCAAGAAGAAGGCCACATTAAAAGACCCATGAACGCGTTTATGGTGTGGAGTCGTGGTAAGAGAAAGCAGTATGCTGCGATAAATCCTCGAATGCACAACTCTGAAATCAGCAAGCGACTCGGAGCCGAGTGGAAAATGCTTTCACAAGAGGAAAAAGAACCGTTCGTGGCGGAAGCGAAGCGACTGCAGGCCATCCACATCCAAGAGCACCCCGATTATAAGTACAAGCCGAAGCGACGCAAACCGAAATCACTGCAGAAGAAAGAGCTTGCGGCCCCGATGTTTTCGCCATACAGCGCCCCAATGATGGCGGTCGATAAATTCTCAACGAATCAATTGCCTCAAACAATAGCTCATTCAACGGCTTTGTCCGCGGACCCAATGTATTCCAAAATAAATGGAGCAGCAGCGTTTCATCACTCGGTTTCACCAGGATATCCAGTGATTTATCCAAACGTAACCGCAGTGAACACTCACCATTCGGTGACTCCACCATCGCGTCAGCTATTCGCTAGTTCCTTGGACACGACACATTCATTCCGCGCCGCCGATGTCATGAGCCACAACAGAGCGTTGTACACCAGTCAAGCCTTCCAAACTGCGCTACCTTCCCAAATGCAGCAGAGAATTTCTAGCGTGGACGAAACACGAGGCGCCTCTATCAGTAGTGGAGCGTCCTCCAGTCCGACTGCTTCAAGCAGTGACGCACCGAGCAAGTCGAGTGGTTATACAGTTTCCACTGCTGAACTGAACGGACAACGCGTTTGGCAGCCTCAACAGGATCTGTCCCGACCAGTGGCCTATGTCCCGGTATTGCTTTAAATTTCTTATGTATTTGCCACACCTTTTAATTTAAGGACTAACCCATAAACTGATAGTATATCATTAAAGATTCGATCATACCAGAAACTTACCGCATGAAACTCATTGTCAACATACGTTACCAAGTTAAATCATTCAGTTTCTATAATAATGAACGAAGATCACTTTATCTCGAATGTTTTCGCTAGTTTTTTTTCTTTTGCTTAAGTATAAAGTTTATTAGCGCCGACGAGTACATTAGAAGCATGTGATAATGCGTCTTACAGACGCCTTTTCAGTCCATGTCAGTTGAATTCTGTATTATTTCTAGCAGCAAATTTCCGTTTAGCACAAAGAACGCGGGCTTGTGATAAATACGGATTAATGAGGAACAATTTTGAGTTTACAATGAATAATGACGAAGTCTTGTCAAACGGTACAATAACTCGGTTAATATAATGTAACAACATATCCCTCGGTATCACAGACATTCAATTTGCTGTAACGGTTTGATGTTTTCTTGATCTGAAACTATTCTAGAGCGATCAAACGAAATCGAAAATGAAGTTCTAATTTTTTTCGTTTTAATATATGCGCATTATCTGGTGCATACGTATGTTGTGAACAAACAAGGGCACAATGCTTCAACTGTTTTATCTCGAAGGAAGTTTAAGAGTTTGGCTCTGATTATAAACTCAATCGGCCGGGCATGTATTTGACACTACGGCATCTTGTTATATAGCGGAACAATACTCTAATCTCGGGATTCAAACCAACATTCTGTTTAGGTCATTGTTATGCAAAGATTGTAATTCACTTAATGCGATAAAACAAGTGGCCACGTCAAAGACGAGAACAAAACAATTTCTAAATATCTAGGTACAACTTTCTTTTTAGTACGATCAATGAAGAGATACCAATGTTTACATAATGTTCATCGCCTCTGTCGCCAGCGTGCAATCCCGCGCTCAAGGTACGAAAGGAGCGAAAGATTACTTGAAATATTTATTTTTTTCACGTTTTTGCATATTTATGGCGCGGTGCGATCAAAAGCTTTCATGTCGCTCGCTGAGGTAGTTTCCATTAAGTTAATTTCGCCCTTAATGGCAAGCTAGAGAGTTTAAGGAAGTTTTTCTACTCTATTACATGAAACAGTCAAAGTAACACGACACGTTCGCATTCAAGTTATCGTCATTTTGTTTTTGACAAATTGTAAATTATGAGATCCAAACCCACATGCCGAACGCATGGTAGACTACGGAAATTTAATTCATGCCTCGGTGGTCGATTTAGTCACATGCCAACTTCGATAAGCAAACTGAGAAACGAAAGTTCTAGGCTGTCCAATTTGTTCAAACAAACACACGACCGAAAAATGTGAAGGCTGGGATAGGCAACCCAACGAAGGCCACACGGCGTGAAAGCATCATCGCTTATTTTACCAAGAGTCTAGTAAATTAGAAATGATTTATTGGATTGCCTAGTCTTTTCCAAATACTCTTTATAAATTAATGAGCTCTTTGAGGTATTGTTGACCGTAGTTCGCCGGAATAGAGACCTCAACTTTGTATATATAATGACCGCGAATATTTACGACTTTAAAATGAATTAGAGTTGTGGAAAAAAAAGTTCACCGGTCGAAAAAGTTATCATAATTCAAACATCAACATTGATAGGAAAAAAAAAAAGACTTCGACAAACCAATTCACTTTCTTTCAAAAATATGTTAAAACTTCGTTTGTAATAGAACATCATCATTGTGGTTATTTTTATGTCTACGCTACGCGGTACTTAAAAATACTGTAAAATATGTTGCAAAGTTCATTTATAACGAACAAGTTTAAAGTTTCTTCTCTATTCATTTCAGATAACTATGAAGAGTAAAGTCCGTTTTCCAGCCCATTTCAATTTTGCCTAGTTGTATACATTTCGATATTTGAGAATTAATGTATATCTCAGTGTTATTTTTGCCATACGCTTTAAGTTTTCTGCATAGTGATTGCCTGAAAATTAGTCAGACTTCACTTAAGAATAAACATTTTTTTATACAGTAGCGAGCAGCGCCACAAATTGTGGCGTTCAAAACAATCCCTTGAGGAAAATATTTTTCTTTTTGTTACATGGATCGAAATGTATAATACTAAAGTGACTTGCGACACCCTATGTATTAGTAGGTACGAATTTTGTTGAACAAGTATTACAAATTTCAAGTTTGTAAATGAAAATTTTTGTAAAAGTCTTCATTTTTTCTGTTGAATACGTAGCAAATTATTACATATCAGAAATGTGCTGATATTTGAAAAGAAGTATGTAAAATTCTTATCTGTGTAATATAAGAGTAAATAAAAGAGTGAACGTGAAGAATCTTCGCCTTGTATTTGTCATCATGTAAGCACTTGACGCGAAAATCGAAACTGGTGCATACAAAGCTTGAAATTCGATTTTAAATTCACCTTAGCCATAACCGTCTACTCTACATTTGAGTTATTGTACATGCTTGAATTTTAAATTGCTCGTAAGTTGCACATGAGGTTTAGATAATTAACGAAATTTTGGTTTATACAGTTGTGCAAACTTCGTACCGTCTAAAGCAAATTTTGCCGCGTTCAAGCTTTCTAGATTGAATACAGCACTGAAGTAACAAATGGAACCTTTTTTTAGAAAACAAAAGTGAAATTCAAGTTTTTAAGTATGACTCATTCTGACAATTTTCCCCCTTTCTGCCTTGTTTAGGCTTTTCAGTTTGAATGCAGCACTGACGAGTCAAATGGAAAGTTATTTAATGTTGCTCAAAATAAGTTAATTCCCATTTACTATGCATAACTCTCACTGAAAATTTTTGGAATTGAAATGAATGTCCCCTTTGCTGCCATATCGTTTTAGTGTAAGTGGTAAATGGCAAAAGTTTAACCAGAATCGAGAAAACCGACAAAAAAAATGTTTTGTTTATCGAAATGCCCTTAACGCCCAGAGATCATAACAATAAAAGTATTGTTCGCGTTCTAGTGAGAAGAAAGTGTGAAACATTCAACTTTTGTACACTCAACCGACAATATAACTTTTCCCCCTTTTTTACTCACGGTAGAAACCTGTAGTCTGAGAGACAAATTAGGAAACAAGCTCATTACCCTGTGATTCGAAGCACTTCTCAAATGAGCGCGCTCAAATACACATTTGTCCTATTAGAAGTTCAATTCCGTCGGCCTAATCTGTAAATTTAATTCTCCTGGCCAGAGAAAGGTAATTTTCCCTGTATCGTCTAGCCCTTTGCGGAAGATATTCCACCGTTGGAGAAACCATTCATGTTTTCAGCGTGGGTGTTAGATAAGATTTTCACCGCACATTTATTTTGACTCATCATACCGTTTATTTCTGACTTACTTAATCACCGGTGTAGTTTATTTGTGCCAAAAAAGGCATAATTTTTAACCACTTTTTGTGAAAGAGGAAGTAATGCAAGACCAAGACTCTCTACACCCGAGAAAGAAGTTGTTATTATCTTGCATGTGCCGTCAGCGCCGAGCGCAAAGTTAAAATACTTCCTATGGCACAAACGCACAAGAAACGTGAACTTTGCGGGTCGTAGAGAGCTTACAACAAAAGATAGCTTGACAATACCGGTTACCGCAAAGAAAGGCGTAAACAATAGCTTACAACATGTGAAAACAGTGTATTGTAGTGGGACCATGTTGGGTATCATTGTCATTTTTATTAGCCATGTGGGAGCACACGGTGTGTTTTCAAAGAGTTTTCATTGATGCTGGGAGTTTCGCCTGATAATGACATCCCCTCAAGTTGCGCGATTGTATTCAACCTACTTCATAACTGAGTTCATTCCTTTATTCAACAGAGTTTTCGCGTGTTCTCTTTCAAAGCCACACTATTGATTGTCAGATCACGAAAAAAACTGGGGAATTTGACAACAAAAGCACTCCTTTCTTTTGCACCAAAAAAAAAAAATATTTTTAAAAAAGTAACCAGTTTCACAATACCTTCAAAGACATACCAAAGAGCGACAAATCTCATTACACTTTTTTTGTTTACCTCGATCTTTCATTAAAGGAAATGGGAAACTACTTATATTCGTTTTCCTACGGTTAACAAGGGAAGCAAAAGGTGGATGAACAGAACTTTCTGATATATTCTCCACACATTAAAATCGTTTTATCTCAGTTGAATCTGATGTGAACTGCGTTGCTTGTGATCTTATCAATTCATATACTTCCTTTTAATTAACAAGATGTGGGACTGTTTAATTAGGTGTTAGTACGAGCGTTGGAGGAACTGCAATATTTAGCAGCTTGTTATTGGTTTTGTTAACAACACATTATTAGCACAAAGTATTGCTCCATTGATTTTCGCTTCAAGATTTCCACCGGTAACAATCGCGCCAACGATTCGCTTATCATTTCACCATCCAGTAGCGATAAAATCTTAGCAATTCTTGACGACTGGATAAAATTAAATATAAGTCAGTTTCATGAAAATTTTTGGTGGTGAATGACAGAGAACGATTTCTTTTGACGGAAGGAAGAGGGCGCGGAGTTTGGTAAACATCGTTTTTGGGCAATCGCACGCGAAGCAATTCTTCGTGCCTTTTGTTAAGTTTTGTCTCACTTTACAAGTGAACAAAGAGTTCTAGATAATTACTTTTGAGAACAACTGCCAGTACAGTTACCAAGTACGACTTCTTTTGACTCGCAAAGCGGCTGACAATAACATGTTGTTTGATCTTGGAGGAAAACAAAACGCTTTGAATGGGTTTACTTGGAGATACATTACACCTCGCTCGCTTTGACAGTTTTAATAAACGCGAACAATGGAACGCCTTTGGACTAACTTAAGCAAACACACATTGCTCAAAAGGTTATTAAAGCTCGTTTTGCTGTGTCTCAACTCAAATAAAAAGTAGACACTGTTTTCCGTCACGTTGACAAACAAGTCATAGAACACGCACGGAAAGTCATGCACTGCAGGTGGTAAAATATGTCTGCTCAGTTAATCTAGCGGTGAACTGATTTGTTTACATATGGAGACCTTGCACTAAAACAGCTCCTGACAAACGAGTACTTTATTAAAAAAAAAACTCCACCTTTCATACACAATTTCTTTGGTAAAAACCGGCTTCATATACTGTACGAGAAATAGAATGATTTTAAATGACTGCGATGTCGCCATTTGTTCCTTAAAACCCGACACAACAGCACAATCCATGTTTATTATCTATTAGTTCCCCGTCAAATGACTTCGCTCCCCTTTGACCCACCATCACACATCGAAGAAATGCATCGCGTCTTACACATCTAAAATATCAAACGCCCGCACACGAGTGCACTAAGGCGGTGGAAAGGTGGTTACATATATATACGAAGCCGAAAAAGAATCTTAAATGTATTCAAAATTCAATTCTTACAATAAGAGTCCCGTACATGATCGTAGCAGTTCGAGATTACAGTCTTAAATAAGAAATATTTTTCGTTCAATCTGACACCATCCAGATGACTTTTGGAGCTCCAGTTCAATATGATACTACTTAAATTTTATTACATTCAGTGCGAACATTTTTGAAGAATAGAAACTTCGAAATCTCTCCAAAATTATGTTAAAAGCAGTTAAAGAGTGCTAAAAATATAAACGTTGTACTGTATGTTTTGGAATAAATAACATTTTGAGTTCCATTGAATGATTCCACGTAAAGCAGCTGGTCAGCGAAATTCTAGGTTAAATATACAGTGTCCTGTACTTTGTGCTGTTACCCTCTGTCTCCTACTATAATCACGGATCCAGGGGTTTGAAAGGCCCGTGGTGTTCCTGTTTAATCCATATACTGTCTGTAACCGAACCATCATAAGCTTCAATTTGTTCCCAGTACACATGAGTTGAGTTCTCAATCCTCAGTTTACCGTAACCAGCATTGCCTGGGAACCACTCGCGGAAGGCGGACCAGGGACCTGACGAAAGACGACGATTAACACTTGTAATCTATTCCAAGAATCTACGTCGGGACATTTCATTATGTTGGAGAGGGAAGATAAGCGAGGATTATGCGCTGAAATCTACAGTTTTCAAGTGGAACAATCTACGACGTAGCCCCTTAAGGCACCATGTTATTAAAAGATCAATTCATGTTATCTAGAAATATAAAAATAAGGAAAGCCTCGAGAAGCAAGCAGTGGTGATCTGCAAAGAAAGGAATTCACCTTGCAACTTTTTTTTCATTCCACAGTCACGTTAACTCGGACAATTGTATAACATAGAGAAAGTTTTTTTTTGTTTTGATATTGAAGAAGGAGTAGACATCTTCTTAAGATTGATTCACGTTAAATGTGTCGATTGTAGTTAACACCGAATCTACAGTTGACCCATAATTCAAACTGAAATTAAGGCTGAGACTGGAGTCCAAAAATGAAATCACAAACATATTTACAAAGTGTATAAAATTGGTTAAAAAACAAACAAACAATCAAAACAAGAATGGCGCCAGTTCTAATCTGTTTGAAAAACAGCACGTTGTCCTGCGAGTGGTTCAGCTGATCTGGAATCCATGACGAGACTTTGCTGGTCACAAATGAATGCCACTTATTAATATGAATTTACTCAGGACTTCCTCAATATCTTGCACTTTCCAACAAACCTTGAACAGAAATCACAGTACGATGCAGTTTTGAAGGTAAACGAATGCTAGCACCAGAACCCCACTGCATGGGATTAATTTGTCAATAAATGAAGGTGTGGTGACCAAGTGAACGGTAAGATTACCAAGGTACTTCCTCTGTCCAGCATTTCAAATGCAGACGCCACCGATTCTTTTCTGGAATAAGTTATTCCACACTTATAAAAATCACTTCTCCAGAAACTCTACAGAGGTTGATAACCAGCCAGGCGCATGGTATCTTCAACAAAGGACGCTCTGTTACTCTTTTTTGGTAGAGCTTTAGCAGATCACGAAATGACGTTCCAGATACCTTCTGCTGAGTTTATTTCTTGAAAAAAAAAAAAACTAGAGGCGGAACTCAGCGAATAGTTGATTTCCTCGTCAAGAAAGATTAAATTATTTTTTGACCAAAGATGGACCTCCAACGTCAAAAATCTGCACAAGTGGATATTACGTCTCCATTTTCGTTGCTATACTGGCGTTTTGTTCTGAACGACCACCATTTTATATGTACTAGTGGTCGTTCGAAGAACCACGAATGCAGAGGGGTTGCGGCTTATCGACGAAAGTTCTTGTCGAATGTAGAATATAGAGGTGGTAATTCTTCTCCGAAGTAAAGTTTTACAAGCAAGATAGTATGCGATAAAGTACTATTCTTTAACTAACGAAATAGCCGCGTCCTAAATTTAACAAACTAGAAAAAAACTCTACCAAACGTATTACCTCTAATTTGTATTAGCGGGATCCACATAGTTCACAAGGATTTCAGATCTTGACCCTTAGCAGCACAAATAACGAGACGCTCTTGACTAAAGCCTGACACGTTTTTGAAGTGATGCCTTTAATAAATAGAAAGCGGCTTCCCGAGCAGTTTTAATTGCATGAGACTCTTTCTAAATTTCGAAACCGAAGCATATTTTAAGATAGGATAATTATTAGGAAACTGCAGTAGAGCTGGTGAAAACGGTTTGAGGTACCAAGGACGCGAATTATTTAGAACAAACCACAACTTTACGACCGCGAAAAGAAGCAGCGGCTTAAGTTCTGGATAGCGAGACTATACTGTGAAGATTTAGCACGGCAACCCTCGATTTTCTTGAAGGGCAACAGTGCTACCTATTATATATTAAACCGCCCTTGATTTGGAAATCCACAACCAAGGAAAACACACTCATTTATACCGGCTAATAAAATATTGCATACCTCTAGGTCCTAACATGGGATTCACGCATATTCCATAAGCCTCATTGCAGCCTGCTGCGCCCGATATCAGGTGGACTGGGGCCTTTGGATTGCTGTAGTTGTGGGCTGTTACTGTGTCGTTGAACACTGGCCAGAGGCGTTCGTACGAGTGTTCATGCGCTTCGATGATAATGTCTACACCGTACTGGAAAAACAACGGTTCCAAGCTAAAGAAAAACACAAACACAAAACTGGTTCGAATTCACCATCTAACTGTTCGCTCTCCGTTATCTTAGAAGTATTGTGCATTACATTAACTCAAGCAACGTCAAGCAAGGGAAATTTTTGACCCATAAAATTGTTTTTTGGGACAATTGATACCTTAAAAGTTCACCGATGTCACCATGATCTCTGTGTTTTCCAAGCTTACTTCCCGTTAGATGTTTCCACGCGTATACTTTGCTTACTGTTTCGTTTTTTTCAAAAGGCTTTTTCTTTGCACGCATGATCTGTACCTTCCATGCTGTAGGATTCTTTGATCACCTCTCTCTAAAGACTTTCACTCCTTCAAACGCTGTTCTGTCGGCAATATCATCGACGCCCATTGTCCTCTGCGCTAACCTTAGCCTTCATTTACGCTTGTTTAGATTAACCTGTTTTAACTTTCCATTATTCTTTTCAAAAGGAACTGGGTCAGGATTTTAACATCTTGAAAAAAAAAACTACCCAAAACTATATCGCATTCGAGACCTCCGGGACCTCGTACTAAAATGTTATTTCACATGTCGCAGAGAGAGAAAAAAATGGGGGGAGGGGCGTAACCAACCTGTGTCTAACCACAGAGTGAAGCGTGGTACAATCATCTTTATCAATATTTGAACAGTACATTGGTCTGTGACCAAATGCAATTATCCAAGGACGCTTAGCACGGTTCTCGGGCTGATTCGCCTTTTTAAGGTCGTTGGTTAACCACTCGAGTTGACCCTGAATGGAGCCGTTGGTGAAGTATACTTCAGACGAGTAACTGTGAGGAAAACAAATGGAAATAAAAATTCAAGAGAAAATAAAAATAAAATCCGTTCGAATTCCATCCAATGAATCTGATTTATGGTTTAGAGTTCCCAACTCAGCACAAGTTGCTGTACCTGGTGAGGGAGGGGGGAGGGGGGAGGGGGGGAGGGTGGGAAAAATAAAGATGGGGGACTACCGCATGAAATGAAGGGGGCTGTCCGTAAAACAAGAAGCTGTCATGATGTTTCAGTATTCTGGTGAGGTTGATCAGAGAAGACATTTTCCATGACCTGACAACGACCTCAGTCGTCTTTTCGGCGCTGCATTTTATGACGCAGATAACGCACGAACCACTCCGTGATTTTTCACCTTGACGGGTTCAAAAAGTAATGTAAAATATGAGATAAACATACGCGATGAAGTGAGCTCTGGCGACGTCAAAGCTGTACCACATTCTGTCGATTTCAGTGGGCCACTGAAGTTGCGGCATGGAAAACCTGTATCGGTAATGACTGAAGTTGAAAGGAATCTCTGCAACAAAAGGAAAAAACTCAAATACATCTCATAATAAGTGATATGGACTGCAGAGAAGGCGTGATTTTGGCAAGTGAGAGCTCAGTATTTTCTTGATGAAAACTATAGCTGCCATCTTTGATTTTTAGAGCTTTCATTTTTACAGGGGAGGATGGGAGAGAAAGAAGTTTGTCACAACAGCGTAAGCGACAGTCAAAAGAGGGCAGTCTCATCTTTCCCTACCTTCTCCACCCACCCGTCCACTCCGGCCCGATAAACGATCGCAAGCTTGTCTAACTCGTCCTAATACGACGCTTGCATTACAGGCTATTGGTGACAACGTTCGTTCTCTTCATGAATTTAAATGACTTTCCTAAGCCTCTTTCAATCTACAATTTGAGAAGTTTTCCTACTGAACCAAGAGTAAACTCTTACCGTGATTTCCAACACATGTCATGTAAGGAATCCACGCGGCCATGTCCTGAATTCTGTTCATAAACGCGTCACCATTCTGAGGTAGGTAAAGAATAAGAGAGACTAAGAATTTCCAAGTGAGTATGTCACAAACGAAAAACCGAAGAGAGAAAATACTGATCTCAGGCTACGAAACTGCCGAGAAAGGCTTGAAACTGAGGCTTCAAGCCACATGAACGGTAGCCAAGGAAAGCTTTGAACTACGACAGACAGTTTTCCGCTGCTCTACACTTTCATGACAGTGATCTTAATCAGTGCGCCTCGATTGGGTATCAATTCATCGATTTGCAACCCGAATCTGGCCCTTTAATTGTTCATTTTATTCCTGTTTATCACAAAACAAGACAAAATCAGCCGGAAAAAATCAAGTTAACGATGAAAAATTCTAGAAAGAGATGAAAAGATTTAAAAGGAGGGGAAAACTAAAAAGAGATCCAAAACAATAACATTTGATTAGAATAATTTAATACCTCAGCGCCTTGGCAGGCATATGGTGTCGGTTTGAAACAGTTTATTAGAAAATCTCCGATCTTAAAGCTGACAATTTCCTATTGCTTGAAATTCACTCGCACCGTGTACTTTTAGGGTGCCTATGGGCATTACATCGAGGGAATAGAAAAAGCTGCATCATTACTTACAAGTCCTCCATCAGTTTGAAGGTCGTAGGCGAAGTCCCCAACATGCAATGCGGCCGTGTTGTTTCCGGACCTAGCTTCCATAATAAGCCGTTTAAGACTGGGAGCTCCTCCAATTCGACCCATGTCTCCATAAACCAAGAACTGCGGTGACCAATCCTGCAAAGGACAAAAAAATTGTGAAAACAAATTTCTTTCATCATCGTTGTCTGGTACCAACCTGATCAGACTAAGTTCCCTTCGCAGATTAGATTAGTAAAATTATCATCACCTTTAACTATTTTTAAATATGTGTAGGGTGTAGTCTCAAATGGCTCCGGTTTCGCTAAACTATACGCCACTTTCTAAGCTGAATTTCTTACGTTATTTCGACTGAGCCCAATTTTCCTCCCTCGGGGGAGGGGGAAGGGGGGAGTGGGGGCTTTGATTGTACCACATTCACTCCAAGAGCCTTACAAAAATTGCGAATCTATTAATTGACAACTTTTACTGAATTGCTAAGTTTGTCAAGAAGAGATACAAAGATTCTCGATTTAGGCGAGACTGAGTAAAGGCCGAAGAGCAAGAAATGTTTAATTACAGTGAAGTGCCGGCTATTTTCCAATATATATCTGCGAATTAAAAGCTGGTTTGTTATTATTACAAACGGAACTGAATTTTAATCTTCCAAACAGAACTGCATGATGATTTTCGGAAATTCGGTTAAACTATGAATAGATTGTAACGAATTTCCCAGAAAAGTGCCTCGAAAAATTGCTGCCGATCCTTGCACTGGACACGACCTGGAAACGTGAAAGCACAACACTGAAATGATGGTACTCAAATGGCGCGATCTGTTAAGTTGTAGAGGACAAATCTGTCTTGAGGTGTTCGTGGGAACTGAAATAAGAGCACTTATCACTCAGAACTTAAGGTTTGACTGGGGAAGTGTACTCGCATTGAAAGATTGCATCATACAAAGAACATATTTGCACAAACGTTTTTTACTTCGTTAATCAGCTATTGATACGTGAGGATTGTTTATCGTTAATCTTGGGTTGAATGTGAACATGTCAACATACATTACTTTCCAGGGGTCGCGCGACACTCCCAACAGACGCCGAGCTGTCTTTTAATCGTCTACATCTGTTCCCAGGGAAAAAGCAGCCTTAAAAAGTGTTTTCAAAATCAACAGAGACTGCTTTCGCAAAAATTACCAACTACGTACAGAAGCTACAAACAAGATACTTACAAATAGCTTTTCTAGTCTACCTATAAACTTCCTAAAACAATATCATATAATTATCATTAGTTTCGGGAAAGTTATAAACCGAAAATTTTCGCCAATCTATAAAAAAAGTGAAAATCAGTTGACGCATAGTTAGATCTGTCTACCAGAGAAATGGTTAGAACTAAGACTAGATTTTCCATTTGAAAGGCATGAAACAAATAGCAAATAACAAAGTAGTCAACAAGTGTTTGTTGGAAGACAGTACTGCGGTTCAAAATTTGGTAAACAATCATACTTGTCTGAAAGAAATATTCAGCATTACGTCGAAACTTTATCATAAAAATGTCTAATGGAATCGCACAATTGAATATAATCTCGCATTCTGATTGGTCAACGAAGCGAAGGATAGCGTAGAATTGCGAGTTGAAAAGGAGGCTAAGTGATATTGATTCGCATCTACGTAATCATAACAACTATCGTCATATTGTAACAAAGTTATCTACAATGTCATTTTAAAGTGTTTTCAAAACCATCTTCACCTTTTGAAGAGCTAAAAACAAACAAAAGCGTTTTTTAAAGTGAGCCAGAGGCTCTTCCCTGTTTTAAAATGAACTAAAATTCTTGGAGAGGCATAAAAACCCTCTTTCGCTCGCGACAACGAGAATGGCAAGCAAAAGTTCAACCAAACAAGACGAAGAATCGACAACGGAAGAAGTGTCTGGGTCAATTGTCATATACACAGAAGAAGAAATAAATACCTTTAATCGGGATGTCAAACTTTCAGTGCTTTCGCTTGAACACTTCATTTCTTTCAGTATTGCCACCAAAGAGGTAAAAGGTGTAAACTATTTTCCTTCTCGAGCAAATGATTTGGAAATTTGAAAAAAGATGTTAGAGATAAACAGCTTTTAAATTCAGTGAAATACCACTATTATCCTTAAGATAGTGTGAAGCTTGTTTAAAAGTTTGACAACAAATGTAAAAACAAGCACAAGGTACAAACAAATTTGTCGAAGATTCCAACGTGTATGACTGACCTTGCTTCCTATTCGCTAACGCAGTGACAGTTCTGACAATTGACTTCGAAATGGCTTTCTGGGGCGCGCGCTCAGGATAAAAACAAACAATATTATTACTGTTTTCTTTTTTTCTTATTTTTATTCAATTATGCGATTCAAGGAAAATCCATTACCTAACTCGTGAATTCCGCGTTAAATTGCACATGAAAACCGATATCATCGCTTAGCGATTCGTATCGGTTTTTGCGTGCAATTTAATACGGAATTCCCTCGTCAGGAAATGAATTTTCTTATATGATTGACAAAAAAACGGTGCACATATCATAAATACGGTGTAGTAAAAATTTCCTGTTTCGCGGAAACCACAATTTCATAAAGAAAGCTAACAGTTCCTTTGCAGCCCACAAGAACGACAAACAGTGAAGGAAACAAGTGAGGGCAAGTATGAGAAGAAAAAAGTTTTTAAAACGCCTTCAAAGTTTCGGCACTCGGTGTTTCTGATTTCCCGCAAATGACGCCAAAACGGCGGCGGCTTCCAAAGACGTACTGAGACTGAAGGAGTTGCTTTCCGTTCTCGGGGAAAGATTGCGGTACTTCAAAATAGCGCTGTTGTCCGAAAAGGCCAAGTTAGGGCTTGTTAGAGGTTCGATCACAGAGTGAGAGGCTGTCCGCTCTGATGCCTGCCAGTTGTTGTAATGAAAGCCGCCCAGGTAAACATCCCCGACGGTCCATTGAGGCTGGTAAGGTGTAGACAAGTAAGCACTACAGTTGAGTGGATGTTGTCCAACGACCCCGAACTGAGAATGCAAAATGTTGGACACACTCTGAATCAATCCTCCATTTCCGTTTTTCGCTGTCTTTTCAAGTCCGTTGACGGTGCTGTATTCTTCGGTGAAAGGCGATCCAGTTTTAACAGCCGCAGGAAAGAAACTCACTGCAAATTTGATCAAACAGCTTCGTTAAAAAAAAAATGGTTCATTTGGAAAACCATTTGATAGCCATTAAAGAAAACTTTTAATAACAGAGAAAGAGACTTTCCTTAAGCGTATAAAACCATTAACAAAATACGTTTCCGATATTTTTTCTGAGTTTCAAATAAACAATTTTAAAAAAAGAACAAGTTGGAAGTTGCAACAACTTCACTAGCACGTCCGAAAGAATGTTGTTTATTTAAATGGTCAGCTTAAATCCAAGAAGACAAAGCCAAAAGCGCTAGACTCTCTAACTGTTTTAACTGTAGACATGAAGATACATAAAGATAATGCTTGATTTACACCAAAGGAAAAATGACATTCGGTGAAATGAAAAACAACACATAAAAATTGTTCTGTTACCTCGAGTGGGCTCCACGGCGGGTGAAATGCACTGATTATTCCTTCTTCCGATATCTTTCATTTGCTTTCGCCGAAGACGAACTTGCTTTTTCATAGTGACTCGTTTTTGACGTCCGTTTACACACAGCTCACAGTGGCAGCTCAAAAACGGACAACCAAGGCGTTTGTGACCCTTGAATTTCGATCGGACTCCATGATTGATGCAGAGCGTACACGACGGATTGCGCTCTTTTCTGTCGTGTGTCTGTTTTTTTCTAGAAGTCTCGCTCATTTGTCCTGACAGTATTTTGTTAAAAAGTTGTCTACCAGAAGAGTTTCGTTCTTTGGAGACGACGCCCTAGATGCCTCGATCATCGCCGAGCAAATTGAGCGAAATGTGTTGCCAAGGTTGCGACGAAGTCACTGACAAGCACATGTCAGTAAAACAAAAACTCTCGCTCGTGATTGGGTAAGGTGTTACTTACGTGCTCGTGAAATTGACAGAGAGATATCCATTCGCCTCAAAACAAAACTTAGGTCACTTTGTTGTTGCTGGTACAGCGCACACGAAAGTTTCTTCTTTACTAATTATAATAATGGTGATAGGATTGAGTGGAGTTCAATTCGGTCTGTAATCATACG